AAATTGATTTTGGGATCAAAAATGCCAAAATTGAACTGCTTTGCCAAATACAGAGTCGCCACCTAAATATTTTATTTTGGAAAAATTTAGGAAACCCATGACTCGTGCCAAAGGCCACAAGTCTGTCGCCACCAAAGTTGCCTCGACTCGGGAACTTGGGTACGAGAGGGGAAGGTCATGAATTGAGCACCCCCACTTGTCCGATTAAAGATCGACCTCTACTAATCATGATATGATTTTTTATAAACATTATGTATTCTTATTCTGATTATTAGGCTAGCTTTACTACGTGACGCGCACAAGCAAGTATAGACTAATTTGCAAGACTTAGAACAATTCAACTCATGTTTGTTTGCGAAAATAGTTTGAATTTGCCACCTCGAGTGGGCTTAAAGTTGTGGATTTTCCACCAAACATAGTGGGCTTAAAACATGATTTGCCACTCAACAAAGTGGGCTTAAAACATTCATTTGTTGAATCGTTCCAATTCAAAAAGCAAGCCTTCATCCACAGGCATTCAAGTAGCTTAGCATTTAAGTACATAGCATCATGGCAAGCATGTTAATCATGGCAACATTCACACTTATGCAAGTATGCTAAAGCATAAAAACTCACCTAGTACTCCAAGCTAAGAAAATATGAGTTAGAAAATAATCCATGATTCCTAACTATACAAGATGCCTAATGCAACACATGCAATAATGCAATTAATAAGCTCAGCTACTAATATGACATATGAAGCAATTTGAACAACATGCGATTAAACACGTATTCAAAGAAGTATTTGAAATTGCAATGCGGTTTGAATGATGCGCCGAGCCTCGGTGCATGCAAAACAAGATGAATGGATGTAAGCATGCGATATGCTAATCAAAACATGTCCCTAATCTAACCATCAAAAGTGATTAAATAAAATGGAGAAAGACGTGGGGTTGGAAGACATACACATACGCACGCACACTTATTACAACATTACGCCCTTGCGAAAGAGGGTCCGAATGAATAAAAGCTAACTATCTAAAGCTAAGCTAATTAAACTAACTAGTTATTACAAACCGAATTAATTAACTATTCTAGTTAACTAATTACAAAATGAAATCGAATAACTAGTTAAACTAACTAATTATTTGCAACTCTTAATTAGCTACAGCTAATTAATTACAACATGTATTTGATCTATTACTAATTAAACTAATTAGCTAATCCCTGGAAGCGAGGGATGCATGCATGCTCGATTCTTCACCTGAAAAGCCACTGCTTTGCTGCTGAATGCCTCTATTTGCACATATAAACACCAATAAAGTTGTCCACTTCCAGAACACTTTTGCCCCACCTTACCAACACATTGTGCAAATTTCATTGGTCAACAAGGGGCCGATCGGCTACCAATGGTGGCCAGTTGGCTACCATTGGTAGCCGGTCGGCCACTAGTAGTGGCTGTTGGCCACTGCTGGTTTGAACTTTCTTACTGCAACAGAGAGCAAAATAGAGCAAAACAGCGTATTTCTCAAGGGTTGTTTGCACACTTTGCCTCTCATTTTCATGGGGAAATCAAATGAGGGACAAGGTTTAGTTCACAAACCATCAATCAAGAAAATTCATTGCATGATGGCTTGTGAAACCAATTGTGCAAGTTTAATAAATGCAAAATGAGACCAAAAAGACCATCACCCCATCATGCATGATCAAGGGTAATGGAGATCTAGGAAAATGGCACATTTCATCATTTTTTTCAAATTAACTTCTGATTTAAACACATGCAATGCAACACAAAATTCTTACTGCAACAGAGAGCAAAATAGAGCAAAACAGCGTATTTCTCAAGGGTTGTTTGCACACTTTGCCTCTCATTTTCATGGGGAAATCAAATGAGGGACAAGGTTTAGTTCACAAACCATCAATCAAGAAAATTCATTGCATGATGGCTTGTGAAACCAATTGTGCAAGTTTAATAAATGCAAAATGAGACCAAAGAGACCATCACCCCATCATGCATGATCAAGGGTAATGGAGATCTAGGAAAATGGCACATTTCATCACTTTTGAGTATGAAATATCCCATTTACCTTGTGTTCAAATTAACTTCTGATTTGAACACATGCAATGCAACACAAAAAGATACTTATCTTGTCTTTTTTACTTGCCAATTTTGTTTACTCATTTTAATTACGAAATCATTCATTAATCCATTAAGTCCATTGGTGAGTGTCCTCTAATGGAAGGAGGGCTCAAATCATAAGTTGTTTTGGGCATGGAAGAGGCATTACACTGTTGGTAATGAACCCCCTAAAGGATTAAACCATTAGGTGTAGTACCTCTATTTCACACTTGGGCAAACAAGTGGTTTGAAACCACTTTCAAAGAAAAATCAAAAGGTGAAGAAATGAGGGAGATTGCAGAGATTATAAGTGCTGAATTGAAGTAGAAAAAGCACTAAAACATGTAATCAACTCATACCAATGATGGGTAGAGCCTTGAAACACTAAGTTAGTGAAAGGGGTTACACTATAACTATGCAAAACAAGACTCAAATGAATTAACCAGTCCAAAATAGAGCTAAAATAGGTTATTTTAGAGGCTGAAGCATGCTGAACTTGAGCTAAGTTAAACTAGAAAAACATGCTAATATGTGAAGCTAACTAGGCATGCAAACAAGACACAAAGAGGGGAGGCTAACCCCTCCAAATTTGGACCTCAAAATAAGTTTTTTGCCACTGAAAAATCTCTGAAATTCAGTAGTTAAAAGGCCCAAAAAATTTTATTTGAAAGTGATGAATAAAGGCACAAAAGCTTTACAAACCAATAAGCAACAAGGGTGAACCACTCCCTAACTAAAAAAAGGCTTAAGCCAACACTTTTAGGCCACAAAAATAGAGTTTTTCTCAGTTCAAAACCAGTCCCAAAACAGCAAGAAAAGATGGTAAAACAAGCTTGCAAAACAAAGTAAACAAGACAAGTAAACTACCTCTTGAAGCAAAGGGCAATTCTAGGAACAAAACCAAGCTAAAACCACCTTCAAGAGCTCCAAGAAGACCCTAAGTAACCTCAGCTCAAAGGTAAGAGGATTTGATTTAGGATGCGTATGCAAAAGTGTAAAGAAAGCAAGCAATTAGGCACAAAATTGTAAGAGAGAGAGAGAGAGAGAGAGAGAGATTTTTGCTCTAATTTTTCTAACCCTATGGTAAAACAAGCTTGCAAAACAAAGTAAACAAGACAAGTAAACTACCTCTTGAAGCAAAGGGCAATTCTAGGAACAAAACCAAGCTAAAACCACCTTCAAGAGCTCCAAGAAGACCCTAAGTAACCTCAGCTCAAAGGTAAGAGGATTTGATTTAGGATGTGTATGCAAAAGTGTAAAGAAAGCAAGCAATTAGGCACAAAATTGTAAGAGAGAGAAAGAGAGAGAGAGAGAGAGAGAGAGAGATTTTTGCTCTAATTTTTCTAACCCTCTAAAATGAGGGAGGAACCCCCCTATATATAGAAAATAAGTCTTGAGCTTAGAAACATCCTACCATACACGCGTAGGGAGATGCAACTCAATGTGCTAATAGCTGACACAGCTGTCAACAAATATCTGAAAAAAGAGGCTGGTGGCCGTCCAGCCACACCAATGGCCGACAAGCACAATCTATGGCCAACAGCCTATGGTGGTGGCTGACAGGTCACCACAAGTTGTAGGCACCAAGTTTTGATCTAAAATAAGGCATAGAAAGGATAAGGTCTAAAGGCTCAAAGACAGAGCGTTCCGCCAAGGACTTCAAACACTCAAAACGAACGCATGCAACCATAATCATCAAATGCACAAGTGATGACGTCCAAATCTTGAGGACGGTCAAAAATGGGGTGTCTGCACTATGTAAAAAATCAGTTTGATTAAATATCTATAATAACATAAATAAATCATATTTTATTTTATAAAATGATAAAATAAATGACAAACACAATAATAAATTTAAACTATTTATTTTATAAAATAAAATATATTTTTTTCTATATTTATAATTATTTGATAAAGTTAATTTTTTATATTGATAATATTTATTACAAGATTTATGAATTAAATTATATTGATAATATTTATTACAAGATTTATGAAATAAATAATTTAAATCTTCTGTGTGAGTTGAAATTGAAATTCATAAAAATGGAACGTAGAAGTATGGAGAAATAAGTTATAAAAAAGAGAGGAATCCCTTTGAAATGTGAGTACTTCTTTCGTCTCAAAATAACGATCTCTTTTAGAAAATTTAATTTTTTTTATAGTATGATTATTACATTTTAAAAAAATTAATTTTTCAAAATTATTTTTTGATAGTATATTTTTTTGAAGAATATTAATGTTATAATCATACTTTTTATGTTGTTAATAAATTTAAAAGAAAAGAAAAATAGTAAATTTGTATTATTTTTTTACTTAATTTTTGAAAATAAATTAATATTTTGAAACAATGAAGAATGACATAAATAATTAATATTTATAATACTTGGTAAATGTAATACTATCATATAGGGAGAAAAAAAAGCAATTGGCTTCTGTCCAGTTCGAGATCCGATTAGATCGTACTGTTGGACCCATGGGAGTCTACCCCGGGTCCCGTTTTGATAATCTGAACCGTCTAATGTGTATAACTCGTCGAGTACTATACGTCTGTAAAAAATCACATTAATCGGATATCGATAGCTATATGATCAAATCAGTTTCGTATTAAAAAAATAGACGTGAACAAATTAACAGTTGACAAAAAACTGTTTTGATCACATAGCTATAGATATCCGATCAACGTGATTTTTTACAGGCATATAGCACAAGACGATTTTTACATATTGAAACAGTTCAGATTATCAAAATAGGACCCATGGTAGGCCCTTACGGGCCCAACAGTACGGTCCCGGACTGAACAGGAGCTATACCCAAAAAATAAAATAGCCTAGTGCCCTAATGCTGATATGGCATCACAAGGGGAGGGTAGACAAATACTATTTACTGCACCGCAGAGAATCTCTGTGGGTCTCTCTCTCTCTCTCTAAGCTAATGCTTACACTCGCTCGGCTTCTCTTTCATTTACCCCTTTCTTTCTCTCTCTTCTCTCTCTCAATTTTGGGGTTTTTCGAAGCTGAACCCAATCTTCTCCGTCTCTCTCTCTAGGTTCGATTGCACGCTACCATGGTGAATCCATTGAGATGTCACTCCAGTCAATCGAACACCACCACCGCCAATTCGTCACACTCGCAAATCTGAGTCTCGATCGTATCTTCAACAACGGTGCTTCTCAAAACCCATCTTGCTCGAGGTCTCTATCTCTGTGTAAGAACTGTTGAATTTTCGTATCTCTCTTTCTTTGAATCGCAAAACCCTTTAATCGCAAAACACTGTTCTTCTTAATTATTTTAGATTAGAGCGGTCGATTGCGAGGTCTCAATCTCAATGACCTTACTTTTCGTTGCTTTTTGTACGCTAAAGTTTGGTTTTTGATTTCGTGGTCAGATTGATTAGGGCTTTTTCTGAAGTTGACCGAAAGAGATTAGGGTTTTGATTGGATTGAGCAAAAAAATTAGGGTTTTCATTTGGGGTTTTGTTGAATTTTCAATGGAGGACGAGATACCGAATACAATGAATCTGGACTTGAATTTGGGTCCTTCTCCATCTCCTGATGATGAACCGGGATCGGGATCATTGTCCAGTGGGACTATGAACTTGGAGGAATGGATAGATGGGCGTGTTAATCGACTCAGAGAAACTTTGAGATTGAGAAATAGGCAGAGGTGGCGATCAGTGCGGCGACAGGGTCCGATTCCCCCTGAAACTAGAAACATTGCCATGGAATTGATGGCCAATTCAGGTAATGCTGCTGTTGGTAGCTTGCAAACTGGGGAAGGTAGTGTTTCCCCCGAGGAAAGAAATGCTGAATTAATAAAAACATGTGAGAATAATGCGACCGATGTTGAGAATGAATCATTAGGGAAAAAGGAGAATGAGGAAAAGGGTAATGGTGAGGATGGAAGCTTTTTCGATTGTAACATTTGCTTGGACTTGGCAAGAGATCCTGTTGTGACTTGTTGTGGTCACTTGTTTTGTTGGCCATGCCTTTATCAATGGATACATGTTCACTCAGATGCCAGAGAGTGTCCAGTGTGTAAGGGAGAGGTGACAACTAAGACTGTGACCCCAATTTATGGTCGTGGAAGCAATAACCGTGAGCTAGAAGAGGATCCAAGTCTTAAGATTCCCCTTCGGCCCCAAGGAAGGAGGATTGAGAGCTGGAGGCAAACTATTCAGAGGAATGCATTTACTATTCCAATGGAGGAAATGATTCGACGTCTTGGAAGTAGGTTTGATTTGACCAGGGATTTGGTCCAAGCCTTGCCACAAAATTCAGAGAGTGCTCGCAATTCACCTGAAAGAAACAACTCATTGCTCAATCGGATTCTGACTTCTAGGGGAATTCGCAGAGAACAGAATACAGTGGTGCCACCAGATGATGTGGTTGATGTTGACTTAACACAGAGCAGCCCTACTAACTCTGAGGTGGGTGAAAGCCGTTGGCTTTCATCCCTTTTACTTCGAAGATCACATACACATAGAGCTTCTACAATATCAAATCTTACATCTGCTTTAAGTTCTGCAGAAAGTTATTTTCGCTTCCATAATGTAGAAAGAAATCAAGAGCAGCCTCCACCAGTTGATGATAGAGATTCCATGTCAAGCATTGCTGCTGCTATACACTCTGAGAGTCAGACGGTAGATAATGCAGTTGAAATAGATTCTACAGTGGCCCTTTCTACTTCATCATCCAGAAGAAGAAATGACGCGTCAAGGGTTTCCGATGTGGACAGTGGAGATTCGAGAGCACATAGAAGGAGGAGATTGAACTGAAATAAGCTCCTTCCATTGAATAATTGTTCCAGAATCTCATGAGGTTTTAATATCCTCATCAGCTTTGTAAGTGCGAATGCCTTCATATAGCTTTTGCGTTTTAGAAGGCATTTAACTTATGCAAAAATCATTGATTGCAGTGAGCTGTTTATAAAATGAAGTTTTGATGCTTAGAATATGCAGTTGGCAACATTGTTGCCCTCCTTTAAGTGGTTTTTTTAGTTTTAGTTTGTATGGCAAATCAAATATGTAGTGAAGCAAGCAGGCCAACCTAATTTTTGCTTTTGTACATGATTCTGGAAACTCTAGCTTTATTCATATGTGAGCTTTCAATGCCCTAAATCATCTATGGTTATTTTCATTTATTTATGCAATTTTTATGGGTAAAACAACAGCTTCTTTCTGTAGTTCTTCTTATTGAATTTGTATGTGTGTTTTGGGTTGTTGGCTAAGCATAATGTTGTTTTTGTGGGGTATCTGTGTCAACTTACAGCAGTTAGTGACCCATTTCTTAGAAGTTAGTAACGTGTGTGGACAATTTCTGTAGACAAAATGTGTTATGTGTCTAGGTTTGAGTGTTTGAGTCCAGAAGATTGAAGGCGTTCAAAGACAATGTGACACGTGCTTTGGAATTGTAAAATGCAGCTTGTGCAAATGGTCTGCTGCTATCGTGGTTATTTGCAGCAAGTTGGGGGTGAGTGTTAATAGTTGGCTTCTGAAAATTGAGAATTTAAATAAAGTTTGTAAGGTGTGTAAAGGAATTGCAATGACTGGTGTGGAAAGGAAATTGAAAAAAAATTGTTTGTGAAGTTGAAATCACAATGCCTTGGGAAAATTGGGATTCCACCTTATCATGGATGGAATCTACATGATTTTTTAGAACGGGGTATCCATCCTAAAAGCCTTGTTTTCCAAATACGGGGACTTCAGTAATAATCTTTATTTATCTATTCTTCGATTCAAAGGAAATAGGAGCAAGAGTTTAGGGGGAGAGAACTAAGCTCTCCATTACACACCAGTCATATCTAAAGTAATAAAAGGCCCTGAGTTGGGCTGGTGGGTCATCAGTGACCACATAGTCTTGAGTTCGATCTACTCCTATTCTAGCCAATGCATCTGCACATTGATTTGCTTCCCGGGAAATAATTTTGATCTTACAATTAGTCCTTCAAAGCAAAAACTTGGCATCTTCGACCAAGTCTCTTTGAGGAAAGTTTTGGGGGTACCTTATTCAATTAGTTTCTTTGGTGGGAACCAAGCTTTTTCAGTAATAGTCTTCAGACTTGATACAAAGTCAATTTTGTTATTCATAATGACAGTACATGAAGAACCATGGTCCCGGACATAACTACAAATCAAGTTTTGACCTGGTTTCACTCCTTCGCTTTTGTTCAATATGCATGCTTTGAAATTGTCATTGCCCATTTGAGGAAACCGGTGCGAACTCACTTTGGTCTCAAGCCAATGTGCAGTCGTATATTCTGAGAAGCTTGCCATTATTGAACAAGATGGAGAAATGGAAACTGATGATCTCCAAAAGAAGGTAGATTCTATGCAGCTAACCATTATCAAACTTGATGAAGCTATTGAAGAGCTTGAAAAGAAGAAAAAGGCACTTTGAAGACGCTCGAGAAGAAGTGCCTAAAAAAAAGAGCGAATGTTCTAGATGTAGAGGGACCGAAAGGGTCTACTAGTCCTGTCCCGTTGCAGTTGATTTAGGTACCCATATGCTCGATAGTTTCTTGTGAAATTTCACCATTGAGATGACACTCCCCTTTATTTTATGTCGCTATTATTTGTGTTCTGGTTTGCACTAACGGTTTACAAGTTCGCCTCTGCTATTATACATGTATATGAGTGCCAGATTTTTATTTTAGTAATACAATGCAAACAGAATTTTTACAGAGAATTCTGTGAAATTTTGCTCTCAATTTTTCATTTCAAACTAAAACAATCAACCGTTGCGTGTCATAATTTAAAAGTAATAGAGCTATATAATTCTTTTTATTCTTTTTGGTCATGTTTGTTTGGGCGGATTGGATTAGCATTCCCATGACTAATAGTCCTACGACTACAAATTCGTTGGATTATATATCCTATCTTAACTAATAGTCAAGTTTAAAATAATTAGTCCGTACTTTAATTATTTAACCAAACATCGGATTAATAATTTTATTGGACTATTAGTCCAATCCCAAGCTCATGTCCACCCAAACAAACATGACCTTTGTGTACTAATTTTTTCTTTTCTTTTCTTTTCTTTTTTAATTTTAGACACTCATAATTTTTCGTTCAAAGGCAGTAAAACAATGAACACAAATCAGCTCAAAGCTTCAACAATCTAAATTGATTAATTACCTAACTAAAGAACTTGTTTTTCTTTCCTCTCTTCTCTTCCAGTCTTGTACAACAATTTTCAAAAGATAAGCATAGAAAATGAGTCGTCCCAAGTAAATATAATTATAGTAATGATTACAATACTTTGTATTATTATTATTATAATTTTATAGAATCATTAACATGAAATAATGTCAAGGGGCATGCGGGTCCTTGTGTTTGCTGGTTTGACCAAATCACTTCTACTGCTCTTAAACCTTATTATTGTCAACACACACACAAAAAAAAATGGTTGTGGATAAAATAATTTATAAACCAGTCTTTTTTTACAATTATGTTGTGTCTGATTAATAGATTTAGATAACAATTTAAAAAGAAAAAAAAAATACAAGTAAAATATTAATAAAATATAACTAACTTTCACACTTTTTCTTTTTTCCCTTCTCAAATCACTTCTTAATGTTCTAATTTGATAAAAAGGATTAGTTTAAATAGTAAAGTTAATCATTTTGTGTTAGTTTTTTTACCAACATAAAATGATTTATCGTTTAATAAATTAGTTAATATTGATTAATAATTAGGGCATAACATTGTTGTAAGAACAGGTAATAACATTTCTCTCTCTCTCTCTCTCTCTCTCTCTCTAGATTATCATACTTATGATTAAAGCATGCATGACTTCAATAATTGCAATGATCCCAAAAGCATGACAATAGGTGACCTGGTCACTCACCTCCTCTAGATGTGTTCTTTAATTACCATGCCCTTCTTTGTAAAGCCATCCTCACGCTTGTGGGACCGCCACCCCACCCTCATTTATCAAAAACGCACCCAATTACAATTAAAAAAAAAAAAAAATCAATTTTTAAAAAATATTATTCTTGAATTTACTTTTTAATGACATGATATATTATGTATCGATTTTGAATAATACTATATGTACTAATTAGTATAATTAATAATGTGATATAATTTAAGAGGTTTTTTATATTTATAATTTGTATAATGAATGAAATCAATAAGAATATCATAATTAATGTTGATACACTAATTAATATATTAATTAGTATATGAAACATCACCGATCAGTTTTTAGTTATTTTAAGAATCAATCAATTAAGATATAATCACTTTTTACATCAGCATGAATAAATTGAATAGTAATATTGTGAAAGTATCCAACCAAATCTCTCTTAAGAGAGGTTTTTAGTTTCTCAATATTTATTAGGGATTTTTTTTGATAAATTTTATTTAGAAGTATTTTAATTCAAGAAATTTATGAAGGAATTTTTGCCACCTAATTAGTGGGAGCACTAATAGTAATATTGTGAAAGTATCCAACCAAATCTCTCTTAAGAGAGGTTTTTAGTTTCTCAATATTTATTAGGGATTTTTATTGATAAATTTTATTTAGAAGTATTTTAATTCAAGAAATTTATGAAGGAATTTTTGAACCCATTTAGTTCCATGTATTTATTGTTTTATTCCATAAAGTCATTTTTTTTTATTTACACTATTTTGTTAGACTCTTATGCTCTTATATTTAATATTAATATTTAATGTTGGGGGAGAAGAGAAAAGGGAAAGGATCGAGATATGTGAAATTTCATACATAAATTAAATAACATTGATGTTATTATTTTATATTATTATATAATGTAAATATATTTTGAATTGACAATACATTAAAAATAATGTGAATATTCTCTCTTATCTGATACAAACGTTTACAACACATTTTCGAAAAATTCTCTCTCATCTAATGTAGTAATGTGAATGTTCACAACATGTGAACCTTCTTATTTTTAATTGACAACACATTAAAAATAACGTTCATTATATTTTTACTTGACAACACATTCTTATTCACAACATGTAGATATGAACGTTTATAACATGTGAACATTCTCTCTATCTAATATAGTGATGTGAACATTCACATTTGTATGTTTTAGTATGAATATTCACATCATGTAATTGACAACACAATGAGAAAAATTCATTTCAAATTAATGTGAATATAATGATGTGAATATTCATTTCAATTACATGATGTGAATATTCACATCATGTAATTGACAACACAATGACAAAATTGACAACACATTCTTATTCACAACATGTAGTGATGTGAACGTTTATAACATGTGAACATTCTCTCTATCTAATATAGTGATGTGAACATTCACATTTGTATGTTTTAGTATAAATATTCACATCATGTAATTGACAGCACAATGACAAAAATTCATTTCAAGTTGAGGTTTGTGGGTGTGTAATTTGATGCAATGTTGATGTAAACCTTAACATCACTTTTATCACAACGTCATTTGATATGAACATTGACATTCACGTCATCTGATATAAATATTGACATTCACGTCATCAATAAAGAATCAAGTTTAATTTTTTGTGTGTAATGCATATCAACCTCAAATAGTAGTGTGTAGTTAATACATTTTTTTGGAGTTAAGATATAATGACAATCAACATTAAATATCAACATTAATGGGGGCCGAAAAAATTTAGGATGTTTTGGTTTTCTTACCTCAAATAGGACATAATGGAATAGTCAAAAAGAATATGAGTTAGATGGAATAAAACTCTTAGAAATAGGATTTATAAAAAAAAAAAGCTCCCTATTTATTATTTTAAAATATTTATTATTAATTATAAAAATAATTTTTTTATTATTTTAAACATATTTGACATAAAAAAAAATACAACTCTCAAATAATACATGTTCATTAATATTAAAAATATCTAATCCTACTCGCCATTGGTTTGACCCATTCATTTGTGTGGTGGGTTTATGATAATTTCAATGATGATTAATGTTTTTCTATTAGAAAAAGAAACTTCAAACCTTTAATGATGATGAAGAAAACGATTTCCTTGGAATAGTAAGACATTGGTCCCATTTTCTTCTGCCCAAGTAAAACGTCATCGTTATGGTCAAATTTCGTGTAATCAGACCAATGTTTGTCAAGACTGACTTTTTGTTTGGGATTTTTTAAATAAATATACTTTTTAATTTTTTATAAAAAGATATTTAAAAAAATAAAAAAGAGATGTTGATTGATATGATTTAAAAAAGATAAAAAGTGTAGACTTATTTTGAAATGCCAAACCACCTGTTATATATAGATTCACACTTCACTCTAGTCTATAGTTTGTAAGACAAATAATTTAAATAAATTTTAAAAATATAATTATTAAAAAGTAAGGAGGAAAATGTTTTAAACTATTATCTTATGATTATTAAAGTCTCATTTGAAAACAGACTATTTTAATAACTTTTGACTTTTTACAAAAAAATGTCTGAAAAAATAGATGGAGTAATATAACAACTTATAGTAATTTTTTTACTAAAATATATAGTTAACAAACGAGACCTAAGTTTTACCTTAATAAAAAAAGTGGAGTTTAATAGTGAAGTTTTTAATCAACATTTTTTTTTTGTGAAAATAATATATAAGCATAATTTTATTAATTTCAATGCAATTTTTATTGAAATTAATATATTTTTAACACTTAATTATGTTCAAAACAATTATTACAGTACCATTTTAAGTATATTGTACTCCTAAGATTTATTGATTACTTGGATAAAATATGTGGGTATGGATTCTCTCCAATTTAATCTCAATTTACGAAAGTATTGAGATTTCGTGAGTTCATTTTGGGATCAATTTCGATGAACTGAACTGTTAATTTTTTAGACTTATTGAGTATAATATTTATTTGTATTACAACAAATATATGATTATTCTTAAAATTATAACAGCCTTTCATTTTTTTTAAAACAAAATGTAATTAAAATATATAGTTATTGATATATGATCATCTTAATTTTTTATATAAATATTTTATTAACGAGTATTAAAAAATAAACGATTCAAATTACTAAGATCTACTTCAAAATGAGTACTAAAGACAAAAACACTCTCTCAAATTAGATAGCATCAATGCCAAAGTAAATTGTTCATGTATGAACCGTTGTATATGAATGTAGATTCACGTGTATTTGTCAACCTAGATTTGTCGGTCAATCTTTACTACCCCAAAACAAAGCCAAAATAAATCAAAAGGACTTGTTCGAGGGGTTGTTCGTTTATATATCAAGGACTTGTTAACGTTTTATTTGGCTCACAAGTCCTTCTCTCTCCCTCGTCAATCAAAAACCATTCAAAGCTTTTAGTCTAACATGGAGTTGGGTTTGAGTTTAGGAGATGCACATTATGCACCAAACTCATTCTCATTATTAGGACCTCTTGACAGATCAAAAGACAAAGGTGAAGAACAGAGAAGAGGCTCATCTTCATCATCAGATTCACAGCCAGTACAGCTTGATCTTCTGCCTTTCACTCCGGTTCCAAGAAATCAACCAACCTCACAGTTTCGCTTTCCATGGCTCACTGAGAACTGTAATAATACTCACTTTTTTATTACTTTAAAAAGCTCATTCTTTTTTCTTCTTTTTACCTTGATTTTTGTCCTTGTCTATACGTTTTCCATCTTTTTATGATCTGGGTTTTTGTGGGTTTTTCTTATTTTTTTCGTCACTTGGATGATTCGAATGGTATTAGTGTGTGTGTGTAAATAGAACAATAATTTTGATTATTTCAGAATAACTTCTCACAGTAAAATATAAGTTATTATTGGTTCAAAATAATAAAATTCACAATTTTAAATGAAATCAATGAGTTTTTTTGAACAATAGGCCCATAACTGTTACCATTTCCTTGTATTTTTTTTTTTTTATCTCCTTATGTTTTTGGACTAATTATACTCACGGTCTTCAAAATATGCATTTTATTACACGGTAGTTTTTAATATTTTGAATATGATTTGAATTGATTAAGAGAGTTGGGAAATATTCAAAATTTTGATTGCATAGCATTGCTTCTTGATGAGTCTTTTGACTCTTTGCTTATTTTGGTGGTTAATTTGATTTAGCTAACTTGGGTATGTTGAACTTGTGACAGTGTTATCTGAACCTGGTTCATCAGATGGATCACGAAGAAGGATAGATCGTGTGAACCGCCTGCCATTGGCAGTGGAGGATGGGGAAGATGGAGGATCGCTATCGTCCCCAAACAGCACGGTTTCATCATTTCAGATGGAAGACTTGTCAATATATACAAGTGGAAGAGTCAAAAGGGATTTGGAGACAACTATTCTAAATGAATTTGACAAAGATCATCAAAGAGGTGGATCTTCAAGAGGAAGTGATGAAGAAGAGAATGGTTTGGCTAGGAAGAAACTCAGACTCTCCAAAGAACAATCTGCTTTTCTTGAGCATAGCTTCAAAGACCACAATACACTCAACCCTGTAAGTAAAACTAGATAGACATGGTCATTTTAGATATGAAATTAACATTGTCAGACTCTTAATATTATCAATAGTCTCTCATATGGAATACCATGCTCGGGTGGATTATTAGTTCGAACTTCAAGAAATTTATGTATTTTATTCAATTATTAATCCAATCACAAGATCATGTACCCTCAACATACATTCTGATAGAAGAGCTTTAGAATCCAAAGTATCTAAGATCAAAAGAGTTGTCACCTGAATTTTGTGGTTTAAAATAGTTTAGTATCTGTTTTTCTTGTTTTTTAACATAGGGTTCCTCTCATCTATTTACAATTTATGTTATACACATATTTTGCAGAAACAGAAGCTTGCTCTAGCAAAGCAGTTGAATCTCCGTCCTCGCCAAGTAGAAGTATGGTTTCAGAATAGAAGAGCAAGGTATAATTTAAATATATATATATATATATATATATTGAGGATGATTTCATATCATTCTTTAAATATTTGTGTTGATAGTGTGGATTACTTCAACAAAATAATTTGTTAAAATTAAAAACAACTAATTACAGGACAAAGTTGAAGCAAACAGAGGTAGATTGTGAGTACTTAAAGAGATGCTTTGAGGCACTGACAGAAGAGAACAGGAGGTTACAAAAGGAGCTTCAAGAATTAAGGACTTTGAAGGCTTCCCAATCTTTCTACAAGCAGCCTCCCGCCACCACTCTCACCATGTGCCCTTCATGCGAGCGTGTCGCCTCCACCACCACCACCACTACCACTGTGGCCAATCCCACCACCACCGGCTCTGCTGCCACTGCCACTGCTAACAATACAGTATATCCCTTTATTAGCTCCCAATCTCATGCACAAGAGGCTGCTTAATCCATGAGATTAGATCAATACCAGAGTGTAGTTAGTTTCTGCATATACATACGTCTGTATCATGGCCTTGTTTATAGTGGTTTCATCAAAAAAAAATTCCACTTCAATGTATGATTTTTATTTTTTAATTTTTTTATAGGTTCTGTTTTGGAGGAAGAGATGAATTAGTGTATGAGAGTGCAATTTTTTTTTTTTTTTTAGGTTCTGTTTTGGAGAAAGAGATAAACTAGTGTATGAGAGTGCAGAGTGCTAAGACATAAGAAGAAATTTTATTCAGAAGATTTGTCACGAATTAATTTTGGGTTTTTTTTTTTTTTTTTTTTTTTTGGGAAGAGCAATTAACATGACTTGCAACCTCATCTATCCAATATGAAGAGAGATCAAAATTTCAGAAGTCTGAGTCTGCCTAAAAATGTGGGCCTTGGCTTTACAAGATTTTTTTTTTTTTGTCGTATTTCTTGCAGATAGTGTGAGGATTCAGGTTTACTAGAACCAAGAAAAAAATAAAAATAAAAAACCATACCTAAACAATCCCTTTCATAGCATTCATTTTTTAATGCTAAAAATAAAATAAATAAATAAAAAAACACTGCAAGCATGCAAGCAACAGCAATGCAGTTTTGTTAGTTGGAGATACAATCATACATGTCAAATGACAGGCATCATAAAAGAAAATGTTTGGTGGTTCAATTCAGTGGTTTGAATGATTCGAATATGTTAAAATAATGTCATTTTATATTCAAAATGACAGTTCGAATATGTGATGTCATTTTACACTCAAAACGACGTCGTTTTGAGTGTTTCGAGCCATTCGAGTCATATTTTTTCGGACCACCTATCATTGTTGATCATAAAAATGGTGAAGTGGGAGAAAAATGTGAACTCTTTTATTCTTCCTAGGCCTCGTTTGGGAACAAACTTTTTTAGTAACTTTTTGACTTTTTTACTAAAATGTGATGTAAAAAAAATTAATATATTTAGGCTAAGTTTGGGTACTCCCAAAAAAGCCAAAAAGCCAAAAAGTTATTCAAAAAGTTAAAAAGTTAACACTATTCACCAAAAGTCAACAATTACGGCTGCACAACTCCCAATTCCCTGCACAACTCCCAATTCAAATTTTTCTCTACAAATCAATTTTTACAATTTTTTTATTACACATTTTTCAATAAAAAGTCAAAAAATTAACCCAAACATCCATATTTTCAACCTCAATTTTTTAGTCCAAAAAGACAAAAAGTGCACTTATTTAGTCTTCCAAAACTTAGCCTTAGAATGACTTTTTGACTTTTTACGAAAAGATGTACAAAAAGTAGAAAAAAAAGAGAATCTTTGACTTTTTAGTATGAATTGTTGATTTTTTGATTTTTTTAAATTTTTGACTTTTTTACTAGAAGGAACACTTGTCAAACGAGGCCTCAGCAGTGAAAGTGTAAAAAATAAAAATAAATTTTAACAATGCCGACATAAGCCTATTTTAACTTGATCTATAAAACTATTCATTAAAAAACAAAAATAGACCCCAAACAAAAAACTAAACTCTACACCCAAAAATAAAAAAAAATAAAATAAAATGGTGGACCAAAATTTGAAACATGACATGAGAGAGAGAGAGAGAGAGAGAGCCAAATCTCAGCAAAAAGTATCAAAGAGATTTCAGGCGCTGGCCAATTTCAACGAAAGGAAAAAGAACGATCAAAGTTTTTGGTCTCGTTTTTCCAAATCTCAACTCCGAAATTTCGCTGGTCATTTTCATGTTTCCAAACTTAAATCAATAGAGTATTAGAGAGGTCCACAATGGTAGCTCTTGTGATCAAACATACCCACAATTAGGTGCCCCACACACTCAACCCCAACACCCATAATCTAGGCATGACATATCCTCTCTCTCCGCTTAAAATTTTCTAGGATGACCGACATCACATTTGTCTTTTTAAAAATAGACGGTCTATATTCAGAATCACAATTGTTGTTCATATTTTACATGGATTATCTACACATTAAATCCTAAAAGATGAACAATTTAAGATCATAGAAGTGAGCTCGGAGTGAAATCCAAAAAATAAGCAAACGCAATTACTTGGTCATGTCTCCAGGTTATTGTGCTTTGAAATTTTTTATTATATCGTGTGCATTTAGACAGAAGAACAAAGAGATTTAGGCGGAGGATTCCAAACCAGAGTTTTAGACTCAACAATTAGTCTAGTTCTGAAATTGGTAGATCAACAGGGATCAAACATCCCATGTTCAAAAAAAGGTACAAAAGTAAGAAACTATACCTAATTTTGTACATGTTCATCAAAAGCAACAAACAGTTAAAAAAGAGTCCATTGAGTCATCATCAAGCCAAGAAATAAAAAATGGAAAATGACAAAGTAAAAGGTTAACAAACTTAAACTATTACTCCAGGAGCATTAAAAAATTGCATGCCCATGAATATAAAAATTTGACCACCAAATCTTGAACAAAATAATCAGACAAAGGCCAAAGGTATGCAAAATGTTGGAGGGAGAGGATGAACAAGAATGATTAAAACAGTCATTATTTTATTATCATCAATAAACAAAACAAATAAACAATAATTTACAATCTTAAAGCCTTAAATTAGGGCTAAAAAGAAGATTACTGGAAAGAAAAACTTCTAAACTGTCAATTTAACCATCAACAGAATATTTCCCACTCTCCTCTTCTCACTCTTATAAACAATATACATGTTGTAAGGCCACTTCTCACTTCTGTTTCTTTCTCTCTCATAATTTGTACTAAACAAAGTATTTCTGGGATCTTTTCCAAGAAATCGGTTGTTTGTTTCTATATTTTCAAATATTCAAAAAAAACTACAGAATTGATAAACTATTGATGTTTCAATAAATATTGCCTCCTAATGTGTTTGTTTACCTATGGTTTTTTCTGTTGCTGCTTTTGCTTTTGTTTTCTTAAAAGCTCGGCGTAGAGAAGCTCATTCCACGCATCGGGCACCCCAGGGAGGCACCAATGGCTGCAGTCTTGAAACATCAACGACGATTTTATCTCCTCTTTTGACAATTTTTTCTTCCTATAGATCGATGGGTGGCCATCCTTCCTATAATCCGTCATTCTCGTGATGTTCATATAAGTGACCTGGATTTTCTTCATCCCTTTTAACACCGATTCCATCATTCTCATCTTTGGCGGATACTCAGATAGATAGGTCTCATTCTTGATGGCCTCGCTTTCGTGGTCACATTGCCCGCCAGAATTCCATTGTCCACCACTTTACAAGTCAAAAAATGAACCGACTTTAGTATTAAATTTTTAGTTCCAAAGCATCGATGGTGATGAAACTGAATATTGCCATGGAAAAAACAACAAAATGGTTCATCAATATGCATAGCATGTCTTGTTCAATGTATTGTTCCTATCTTAAAACAACTTGAGAAGAAAATAATACCTGTGCACAGGTTGATCATGTATCAGACTACATATCGGTATGGCAATAAAGTTATATATCAGACCGATATTAGACAATATTCAGCAAACAGTGAAAATGTGATTTATGTTAAATAATTTTAGACTTAAAAATAGCATTGCACAGCTTCAATTTGTTGTTGACACCAAACTATCATGTGTTTTCATTTTACATAATTGTATGGACTAAAGACATACCGGAAATGAGTGGCTGAATAACCTCTGAAGAGTACTAGAGTTTTTGTTGGACTTATATTCGCATCAACCCATCTTGCCCATGTTGTCATAGCTTTCCGAAATGCTTCAAGAACATTCAGTTCGCTGTACACATGACTACCTTCTTGGTAATAGTCTTCCCTGCAAATGTTTCACCTTCGTTAGTTCTTGTTCTTGCCAATGCCAAACCCAATTAAATTTTATTTCCGGGTCCTAAAAATACTTCATATAGTTTCATTTTTACCCTTTCGAAGTTTTCTCATGAGTCCACCAGTGTCCCGTGTTGAAGACTATGATGTCTGCTGTCTTATATTGATCAGCAGACCTCTCGATTAAATCAAGCCGAAGCGTTTCCTTCTTTGATCCATTTTTGCCATTCACTTCCCATTCTTGAACCAAGAAAGGAGATACAAAGAACTCTATAGTGCAGTTATAATCCTACACATCCATCGATTCATACCCACAAAATACAGAAATTTCACTGAATTAATGACATATACCCAAATGAAATTGTTTTGTTATAGAAAAAGGCATCAAATATTGAAAACAACTTACTTCGAAAACGAAAGAATAAGATGCTTCCGATCGAAAATGGTGCCTGCCAGATGCTTCATAAACCTTGGTGTGATCTTTTATGGAGTTTCTGAGAATGCAAACCAGAGATTCCCACATATTCCTGTTGAGAGAATCACCGACGAAAACCAATCTCTTTCCTCTCAACAATTCCAACATGTCACTCCCATTCAACCTGTATGTAGCAAATTCATCAATATCATTTTCAATCTTTACATTAATGTTTTTGTTTCTGAAAAAACGAAAAATGGAAATGAAAAACAAAAACATGAAAACATATTCTAGATTAGGCAGAAACAGAACACATAAATCAATACACAGTGTACACCTAAATGAGCAGAAAATATGTAAGATCCACTAACTATCTGTCTCAGTAAAACACTCAAATTTTATTAAATCAACTGAAATGGAAAAACTTCCAAAATCAATTCTTACAGAATAAGCAAGAAAAGATCACAACTTCGCCAAATACAAAACTCAGTAAAACAGAATCCCAAATAAATAAATAAATAAATTTGATGGATAAGTTGGAGCAAAACCCAAGAATCATTATTATATGAGAGAAAATTGCAGAAAATCAGTAACGCAAATATAATTGGAACAAAGTCTTGAAAATGAAAGATGATTAATCATTTAAAGCTCAGTAAAACAAAATTCAGACACTCAAATTTATTAAATCAACTAAAATAGAAAAACTTCCAGAAATTTCAGGAAAAGATTACTACTTTACCAAATACCCAATTCAGTAAAATAATAATAATAATACCAATTAAATTAAAAAAAAATAAGATTGATGGATAAGTTCAAATTTTAGTAGATCAAAACCCCGAGGATCGGGATATCAGGAATGAACAGAAAATAGTTGAAAATCTCAGTTGTAAAAATCCCAAAATTCAGATGAAATAGAATGACAAGAAAATAATAAAAACTTCACAAACACGACTTCATCAGTTTCAGATGAATCAAAAAATCACAAAATGGAAACAGAAAAAGCAAAAACACTTTTACTATGTACCTTGGAAGAGTGCAACCCTTAGGCTTCCATTTGAGTTTAAGGTAACCATTATCAGGTCTTCCATTGACAAAGCAATTGAATTGCTCATCAATCAATGAACATGACCCAGGTTTATACAGAGGATATGAATCATCTCTCACCCAATTTCCATCAAAAAAATTACAATTCATCAAAGACTCCACCAAATTCTCACTCCCCTGTTTAGCAGACAAACCCACATTAGTCCCATTACTCTGTTTCTTACCCTTCTCTGTAACTTTCACATCTTTATTCCCTGTAGAATTTTTTCTAACAGGGGAAGATGTTAGCACTGCATTTACAGTCCGATTTGGAGCCACAGGAGATTTTGGGGCCCCAATTGTGCTCTGATTTGGCTTCAAGACTTCAATTTTATCATGTAAATCTTTACTCTGAGTCTGATTTTGGTTTTGGGTAGTGGGTGATTGAACTGTGGTGTTTTGGGATCTGGAAGTGTTGTTAGGTGGTGGAAGAGGAGCAAAATTGGGGACTTGTTGGGATGAGTTTGGGAAAATGTAAGAGAAAATTGAAGAGAAGTGAGATCTATAAGATTCATCAGAGAAAATTGTTGGTGAAGATGTGATTGTACTACCACTAGTACTACTGGTACTAGAACTAGAAAAAATGTTGGTGAACCAAGAAGAGGAAGAAGAGTTTGAAGAAGGGTTGAAGGCTAAGAAAACAGTGAAAGCAAGGAAAAAAAACATGAACCCATAAGCAAAAGCCACGGTTTTTTTGGTTCTGCGAAGAGAGAAGAGGCTTCTGAGTTCTGAGATCAGACTTCCGCCATTGATGGATGCTTGTTTTGCTGCATCTGCCATGTGGGTTTTGTTGAGTAGTATCTGCAATATTGGAAACACTTGGAAGAGAGGGAGAGAGAGGGAGAGAGAGAGAGAGAGAGAAACAGAGTCACATGTGCCCGTGAGGACTCGCTGAAGGAGAGAGAAAGAGAGAGAGATTTATTACTTTCAGCAGACGAGAAGATGTTTGTCACTTGGAAGCTTATCCTTTTATTAGGCAAAAAGAAAATTTGTTACGCAAATAATTTTGCCATGGTTTAGCATCGGATTATTAAGCGTTCGTTTGGGAGGTAAATTGGTTTTTAATTATTTTAATTTAGAATTAAAAAATTTGATTTGGAAAAGATTTTTGATTTTTTTAATTTTTTTGTGAGAGAAAGAATGTAATGATTATAAATTAGATGTGATGTTTTGTCTTATTAAACTAAAAAATTTATTTTATTTTTTGTTACTAAAATAGTCAAAAAGTCCTAAACTTGACTTTTCAAACGAAACCTAAGTTAAAATAATCATAAAAAAATAAAATAAATTAAAATATTAATAAAATAAAATATCATATTTAAATTATGATTATTATATTTTTTTATTAAAAAATTAAAAAAAAATAATTTAAACGAGATTTTTTAATTTTAAATTAAAATAATTAAAAAAATAAATTAAATAAAAATGTCAATCTATTTCCCAACCAAGCTTTAGTCAATTTGGAAGATGTTTGAGAAGTGATTAATTTAATTAATTTTTTTATTTTTTAGCTTTAGTCAATTTGGAAGATGTTTGAGAAGTGATTAATTTAATTAATTTTTTTATTTTTTATAAAAAAGATTTAATAACAAAAAAAAAAGTTAGGGTGTGTTTGATTGGACAGATTGGATAAGGGAGAATTAGAATCTATCGAACTTGAGTCCTGAGACTGTGAATCCCCGAACTATTTGGTTTGGATTAGATATGTATCTAGTGTTTGTTTTTTCATGGGATTAGATGTTTAAAAAGAACTATTTTTAGTGAGTCTAACGTTTGGTTAGACGAACTTGATAGAATAAATAAACAAAAGACTATTTTACTATTTTTTAATTGTTTACTAAGTAATAGCAATATTAAACATATCTTTAATATTTTAATTATTTTTTGCTAGATTAAATAAAAATTTGTTTTATTTTATTTTGTACAAAATTAAATAAATTTATTTGTTTAAATTAAATAAATAAAATATCAATAAAAATATATGTTATTTTTTTAATTAAAATTTTAAATAAAATTTTTTTTAAATATAATAATAATTAAACAATGAAATTAAATAAAACATCTATTGACATTTAAATAATGAAATTAAAGAAAATATAAACAAAATTTTAAAATAAAACATCAATAAAATATCTATAAAAAATTATTTATAAAAAATAAAATAAATAAAACATTAATAAAAATTTAAATAAAATTATTTTATTTTTAAATTGAGACATTTAAATTTTATTATATTTTACTAAATGTAATACATATTTAAATAATAGAAGATCAAAATGGTCATTTCATCACTTAATCCCAACAGTAAATAGTTCATCCAAAATTGTCTCACACCCCCCCTAGAATAGTATAATCCCCCATATTGGGGATAAGGAGTCTGGCTGGACTCCCTGTTTGGCGGACTAAAAAAAAAAAACAAACGTCGAATTGAATACTTCTCCCGAATTACAATTCGTACAGTAAATAATCTCCCCTTATCCCCCAATCAAACACACCCTTATGTGATTGAATATTTTGATTTTTTAACTAAAAATTAACACCTCAATGGGAAGTTTTAGATAGTTGTATGCTTATTCTAAACCTATATTAATATTTTGAACCGATAAATTTATAACTTGATTAAACATTCCAAGTTATGCGATCAGCCCAAGTTTCACTTTAAAAAATGAACGTTAAAATAAATATAAATCAATTACGTGCCTATTTATACATCTCTATTTTTATATAAGAAAATATTATAAGACCCAAAATTAGATAAAGCCTATAAAATTGATGTTTTTACATAAGTAATCTATTTAACCAATTATTAAACCAAAAAAATCTATTTAACCAATTCCCACTTAGGGTTCATATAGGAAGTGGGTTGGTTTAATTTTTTGTTTTTTTTTTTACTATTTTTGTCTGGGGTTAAAAAGTCTCATTTGAGAAAAGTTTTTAATTTTTTTGACTTTTTTGTGAGAAAAAAAAATATAATGATTATAAGTTAGATGTAATATTTTGTTTTATTAAACTAAAAAGCCTATTTTATTTTTTGTGACTAAAATAGCCAAAAAAATCTCAAACTTAGCTTCCCAAACGAAGCCTTAAAAATTTGAATTGTCATCAGAACATACTTGAAGGAAAATGAGTGGGAGCTCTAATTAGAGTTACCACTAATGATGTGGTAGTGGGTCTCACATACTACCACAGCATGTGTTGTTCCTATTCTTTTTTATTATTATTACTTTTCCATCTCATTAATGGTGGATTTAGAGCTACAAAATTAGTGGTTTCTAGCATGATTGTTTTATTATTTATAAATCATGTTTTCATTTCCTTAGCTTTCAGTGGGAGAACGGTCATGTTGTTAAGAAATGATTGTCTAAAAGCATCTCCAGCAAGGATAGTTAAAATAGCTATTCAAAATTTCACTTAACTATTCAAAATTTCACTTTACTATTTTAGTTAGTCATTTTTTTGATATACACTCCAACAAGGCTATCTACTTTAGTTATCTTCTATTAAAATATTCTTATACTTTAACTACCTTCTTTCCAATCTAAAAAAAAAAAAAACTAACTTCTTTCAAATTATTATTTTTTTCATTCTTCTAAATATAATTATATTTTTGTGAAAATTACATTTTTCTACTATCGTATTTTTCAAATGGTCATATTTTTATAACGGTCATATTTTTGCAAATTTTTACAACGGCTATATTTTTGCAACGGTCATATTTTTGCAATGGTCATATTTTTATACTTTTCTATTATAAATAAGACATTACCTATCATTTGATCTTACCCTCAACTCAATTTTATACTTCATCCAAACTTTCATATCTCTCTCTATGGCTTCCAATTCTCTTTATGATATGCTTGTAAATGACTCTGACTTCTCTGAATCTGATGACGATTTGGAGATGCTCAAAGTTGTTACTATGGATGAAGAACTACTAGATAATGAGATAGGATCAAGCTCACGTCGTGGTTCTGTTCGAGGTCGTAAAGTCATTCATCGTGATCATATTCAAGGTCATGAAAGGCTTTTTCTCGACTATTTTGCTAAATCGCCTATATATCCTCTTGAGCTATTTCGAAGGAGGTTTCGGATGAAGCGTTCACTTTTTCTTCGAATTCAAGCTGCAGTAGAAGCGCACGATCCATACTTTCTCCAAAAAAGAAATTGTGCTGGTTGGTTTGTCTTCTCTTCAGAAGATAACTGTCGCGCTTAGGATGCTTGCTTATGGAGTAGCCGTTGATTTTATGGATGAATATGTGAGAATTAGAGAAAGTACTGCAATAGAAAGCTTAAAATATTTTGTTAAAGCAGTTGTTAATATTTTTTCTAATGAGTATTTGAGGTCACCAAACTGTAATGACATCGCTAAACTACTAGCGGTTGGTGAAAGTCGTGAATTTCCTGGAATGCTGGGGAGCATTGATTGTATGCATTGGAAATGGAAAAATTGTCCGACTGCGTTGAAATATGTGTATACTGGTCACATTCATGAACCAACAATTATTTTGGAAGCTGTTGCATCTTATGATCTTTGGATTTGGCATGCATTTTTTGGATTACCTGGGTCTCATAATGATATCAACGTGCTAGAAAGGCCTTTTGTATTTACCGAACTTGCTCCAGGGCGTGCTCCTGCGGCCAATTACACCATCAATGGTAATGAATATACAATGGAATACTATCTCGCCGATGGTATATATCCACAATGGTCAACATTTGTGAAAAAAATTCCTTCTCCTCAAGGAAATAGGAAAAAAAATTTTGCAGCAGCTCAAGAGGCGACAAGAAAAGATATAGAACATGCATTTGGAGTGCTTCAAGCACGATTTGCAATTGTGCGTCGACCGACACGTTTTTGGAATACTAAAATGCTTAATATATTATGAAGGCGTGCATAATTCTACATAATATGATCATTGAGGATGAGCGGGATGACAATGGAGTAAAACACTTCAATTATGATCAAATCGATGACAGTCCCCATGTAACAGTGTTACAGGAGAGAACTACTGAACTTATGGAATTCATTCAATGCCATCATAACATTAGAGACAGGCAAACACATTCTCATCTCCAATCGGACCTTGTCGAACACTTGTAGCAATTACACAGCGAGACGTAAAAGCTTTGAATTTGAAGTTTCATTTTATGTAGTATGCTATTAGTTTTGAATGTAATCAGTATATGCTTTTAATTTATGTGTAATTTTATAATTCTATATGCCTTTTAATTATATGGTTATCATTTTAATTCTATATGCCTTTTAATTATATGGTTTTCACTTTAATTATATGCCTTATATATATATATATATATATATATGTATGTATGTATAAATAATTAGCAATGTAGAGAAAATAGCAGCAAAAAAACCAGCAAAATAGTAGCAAAAACACCACAAAAATAGTAACAAAACAGCAGCAAAATTAGATCAAAAACATCTTCAAGAACATATAACTTACAAATTCATATATTCACAATTGAAAAAATTAAGAATAAAGCAGTTGGAAATAGGATGCTCATCATCACTTCATTCATCAATTCCATGCCTGAATCAACACAAACCCTCAATTTCTTGTGTTCCCTTGCTTTTGCAGTGCTGCTCATCACCACTTCATCATCACCACCATCAGTCCAATCTTGATCAATATCTTTCTCATCTTCATCACCATGATTAGCAACACGATAAACTTCAACATGGGTATGCCCTAGGCCATCAAACTTGCCAAGCTCACAGTCCATCAAGTCATCACAGCTGCATGAAAGTGCATCATCTTCTGCTGCACCCATCAGCTCTGCATCCACTGCAGCTATATTTAGCTCAGAAATGGCCTCTAAATCACCTGTGGCCTCAAGGAGCATCATAGAAGATAAATCAACAAATTCTTTCTTCTCATCCATCTTCCTACACGGGAGGATAAGAAGAATTAGTTATTTGGGATAGAAGTGAACCTTCCTATGCATATAGTTGCCCATATTGATTATTGTTGTACAAAATTGGGATAACCCTCACCTCTGATTAATGCTAAACTGTAACTGAGAATGATAAGTAACTGATTTGACTGAAATTCTGAATTGATTGCAAGAGTATATTGCTTTACTTGCATTTCTATCTGTTTGTCATTTGATCGATCTGTTCATGTTTTAACTTTGAACTGCAGATTGAAGGTCTTATCGGCGACCGAATCTGAAATTGATTAGCGTTATATGCTAATTGGAATTTATGTGATTTTATGGTAGGTTTAATGAAAATTTGATTTGGAACGATTAAATTAGATTAAGGCCAAGTTTGGGAAGTCCCAAATAATCCATCTTTTTATCTTTTTACCATCACATCACCTCCCTACTTTTCTGCACATCTTTTCGTAAAAAGACAAAAAGTACACTTATTTAGGTCATCCCAAACAACACCTAAATAATGTTAAATTGCATTAGTTGTGTTTATTACACAATTGCCACTTAGTGGCTTGATTCAAGACCATTCTTTTTCTACTTTACTCGTGTTTGATATGTCATCCATTTCATCTTTGAGACCAAACGTGTGAGGGATAGAGAATTGGAAGAAAAGAATTGATTCAACAAAGTTTGGCTTGGAACTTAGGAGAAATTGAAGAGAGATTGTGTAATTGAAGCTTCAATACTTGGAATTCAAAACCTAGGTAAGGAATTCATTCTCTCAATTGTGTATTTAAGTTGTTTCTTGCATGATTCATGGAAATTTGGAGATTAATGTCAAGTATTGGTTTAAAATGTTGAATTGAGAGTTAATCCTTGCATGCATATGCATATTCTTGACTTTTGGAGCTGTTTCATGAGAATTTCCACGTGCAAGTTCATATTTTTGTTATGGTCCATGAATTCATCATGATTCTGAGCTCAACATTGCATTTGATCTTGTTTTGAAACACTAGAGTTCATGAGAACTCATGTATGTATGATCTTGCAATGTTCTTCGTGCTTACACTTAAAAATTGTGTTCAATTGTCTCACATTTGGGCTTGATTTTACAAATGATCTTCAAAAACATGTTATGCTATGAGTTTCTTAGAGTTTTCCAGAAAATTAGCCCAAGGGGATCGAATTTGAAGCTTTTAAAGTTGAATTTCATGCTTGAGGTTCAATCTGAAAATTTCAGATTTTGGACCCACGCTCGAGCGTAGGACTTCGCGCTTGAGCGTACATTCTGAGTCATGCACCTCTGCTCGAGTGTGGAAAGTCACGCTCGAGCATGAAAAGTCACGCTCGAGCATGAAATGCATATGCCCAGAAGTTTATGTGTTTTACAGTCCGCTCGAGCAACAAAAGTTCACGCTCGAGCAAGGACCTGAGTCTCACGCTCGAGTGGGGGTCGAGCGTCCGTCGAGCGTGAATTGCATGCATCCAGCACTTTTCATGAAGTTTGTAGTCCGCTCGAGCGTAGGAAGTCATGCTCGAGCGGAGCTCCTTTGTCTGCATGTCCGCTCGAGCATAGAAAGCCACGCTCGAGCGTGGACTCCTGTTTCAACAAATTTTGAAAAGTGTTTTAAAGTGTATCCTTGCATCCTCTTTCCATCCTAGGCATTCCTAAGCCATGTTTAAGGCAACTTAATAAGGATATTGATGTAAAACCACACCGGGTCAAGATAGGGACTAAGTTTTTGATTCCCGAGTGTGTAACTTAGTGTGTGTTCGTTTTGTAACTGTGTAGGGTTGGCACCCGAGGACGCCCACTAGCTGCTTATAGCCCAGTGCTCTATGAGTAACAATGTTGTAAAGATATGTTCGATTATGATTATTTTCTGAATAATCAACTATTCTGCTTACTGAAACGTTATTGTTTAATGAATGAATATTTGTCCTATTTATAAACTGTATCCGTGGCATCCATAGCAATTCACTGTTACTGTACTGTTACTGCTATTGTCACAGAGATCTCTGTCGGTTCCCATGTTTGGAACTACTACTGTTTACTATTATGGTGGCCATCAGCTGACTGTTCGGTCTGGTAAGACTTACTGTACTATTTTTGTTATGGGATGCACCACATATAACTGTTATGGTTTCTAAGTGACTGATATGACTATTTAATTACTGAAGGGATATTCATTCTTAACCTCTTTACATAAATGTTATTCACTAGGCTTTAGCTCACTGTTTATATTTATATGTAGGTGTCCAGGCACCGAACCGGAGCTAGATGCGTCGGGTTAACTCCCTTTTGTCAAGCCAACCTTTGTGCCTCACTTCAAGGTTCCGAGTCTGTTCAAGCTACGGTTGTTTTAGGGTGTTCAGATTCACCCTTCTGTTTCTGTTTTCTAATAGATGTTATACACTTCTACTGTACAATTATGGCATAGGGATTGAATCCCTAACTTGTATGTATGTATATCTGGTATGTAAATGTGTTTTGGTTACGAATGTGACTTGTTCATAAAAGTCTTTTTGTATTCAAACTGTCACAGCTCGTTGGACATCTTTTATTTACTGTTTTGGCTTCTGCCAGCCCCTTTACTCTGTATTTCTAGCATTACTGTTATGTAGGCCTTCGGTAATCACGGATTACTGGTCGGTTACGGTGCTAAACCCATAGGAGCGGGTTTGGGTCATGACAAAAATATAATGATGATTAATTAAAGAAGAAAAGGAGTGATGTGGGCTGCCACCTTTTTTCGTGGCTAACTTGACAAATCTGAAGCCATCTTATCTTCTAGAAAGAATTACAATCATAACCATTAGAAAAACCTTGATTAAGAGTAAACACCTCTATCAAGTTAATTATTTTTATTTTCTTAAAATAAATAGTCAATCGTAAAAAATTCAACCCCATAAAACTATCAAGCCAACTATAGTAGCATTTGTTATTGGCTAGTAAAACATTAATAAAAGATTACTTCATATCTAAGGAAATATTCAAAGTGAATAGAGAGATTGTTTAGAATGTATTTAAAAAATGTCTGTTTAAAAATAGAAAAGTACCTTTCTAACTAAAATTTGACTAAAATTTTAGTTAGTTTAATGAGATACTCTTTGTCAAAGAGAAGAATGCAATATATTTTAAGAATGCAATATATTATTCAAATTTTAGTGATCTATCATAATGTACGTTGCTCATCCTTGATTAACATCAAAGCATTAGAAAAATAATAATATTGCAGATTATCTAAAAGAGACTTGGTCATATTCATACTCCATTATATTATTGAGATTTGGTCTTCTAGAATACAACTGCAAATGCCACATCATCCATTATATTTAACTCTTATTTTTACTGGAAGGGTAAAAGATGGCTCCAGCAGACTCGCTCAAGCATCGCTAAGATGATTGTGAGTTACAGTACCTCGCCAGGACAAGCGAGGTACTGTTCATGCACCTTTTAATTTTTTATTTGTTTTTGGCTCTTGAATTTTGTTTTTGGCAGTAAATTTTTTCCCTTATTTTGGTGCTAAAAGTTGTATTAGTACCTCCTGAACAAATCCATAAAGAAAGCATTCCAAATCTCACAAACTCTCTCATCTTCTCTATCTTTTTCTCAAACTTTTTGCTCAAGGGAGGTAATAAATTTTGTTATTTCTGTTTAATTGTCTATGTAAACAAATATATATATTTTAAAAAGATAATAATTTGTGTCAAATAATATGTATATTAACTAATATATTTTAGACATCATCAAAATTAAATAATATGATTAACAATTTGGGTTCCATGAATGGAGAACCTAGCCGAATTTATGGTATTGTAGCATAGGCGGCTGTAACATCAATTAATTTTTCGTTAATTTTGTGAAAATGTCAAACTACTATTTCATTGACCCAAAATTAATGCCATTCTATTATCTATCAGAAAATTAGTATTACTTGGCTTGATTTGAACTTTGACTAAAATTTTTATTTGACTAAAATGTGCTATG